CCCCCCGGATTCCCTCAACACATAGTTCTGACTGGATCGACTAATTTCTAATTATTACACACTTCAGAATGACGAGGAGCAATTTTTCAAAAACGAGAGTAGTACTTACTGGGTTGGAAAATCGAAGTTCACATCACACACGTTGCATTTCTCCCCTGTAAGCTGTGTCTCCGTAGCGATAAATTTATCATCCTCGTAGAAATGCAGTTTTACATCTAAGACACTGCCGCCATGATCCACAACTAAACACAATTAACATAATCACGAACGATTTACTCTATATTTTCAAGTGTTGAAAAAACCGTTCGAAATTTTCGATCACTCACTGTGCTCTATGGCATCCACGGGATGCTCAAGTGACTCCCCTGTGCTGCAGTAGGGACATTTTTCCTTTGGCAATGGGCCAATAGAGAACCCAGAGGCAGTTTCCCGTGGCAGCACTGGTCTTGGTGGTGGGGGTGGTTGCGGTGGTGTTGATGTGCTTGGCTCATCTGCTGTCGTCGGCGATACGAGTGGAGTTGAAATCGAATCTGTAAACCGGTCTCTAGGAATAATAGAGGAACTATGAAGATTATGAAATGCTCCTTGGGGAGAAAGAGAGTAAAATGAAACTCCACCTCTGCTCGGTGGCTTGCGCTTCGCTATGGGAATGGCATGATCTCTCATTGCAGCCATCGCTGCGTGTTCGTCCTGAAAAAAAGTATAGATTTTCTTAGGCTTCTAACTGAGGTACGTAATCTATGGCTTAGGATTCTAACACGATTTGACCGTCTGGGAAAGAGAAAAGATCGCAATCAAAGAAAAAATACAAAAAAAACGAAAATTAAGGCCTAGTGTTAAGAATGGACAAAAAGAAGCCCCATCAAAAATATACGCAAAAGACCTTCACAGAAAAAAATTATCCAAAGTCAAAAGAAATGGATGCAGTGGGATACCCATAAAAAGCATGTAAGAAAATAAAATACAAACAGCACGCAGTAGGAACAAAAACAAAAAAAGGAACGGCAATGTACCAATTTCCTCTTCCTTGTTTCTCTGCGCTTTCGTGCAGCCTCAATCTTGCGTTGACGTTCTCGCTCAGCATTAAGTTCCTCCTCACGCTCCTTCTCACGCAAATACTGCTTACGCTCTTCACGATGCATTTTCTCCAACTTATCCGCTGCTCGTGGACGGCCTTTGGCACGATATCTCATTTCCCTCTCTAGCTCCTCTGACTGACGGAGCGATGATGATCCTAGAAATAATATGTGCTAGAAATTATTACTAGGAGTAACCAAGATAATGTGTTCAGCTTCAGTTCATGCCTCCAAATGTAACATTCGAACAGTAGAAAAAAATGAGAAGCAAAGAACAATTCCCACCTTTGCTCTTGGAATAGTCGTCCGAAAACGTATGTCCAATCCGTCCCGGCTTCTGCTCCGGCTTTTTAGCTTTCTCATTAGCCCTTCTTTCACTCTGAATGTATCGCAAACCCTCGTAAAGGGTGAAAGATAGAGAGACCATTCAGGCCGATTACTGAGCAAATAACGAAAAGAATGCGCGGCAACTTACCTCAGCCTTGTCAAAATTATATATTTGGTAGACCAGTGCAAAAGATTGATGGCTGATCAGATGCTTTTGATATTCATGTCGTTCACGAAATAAAGTGCCACATAAAAAGCAAAGATGGTGCTGCAGCTCCGTAGGCAACCGTCTTTCGTTGTTCCTGTTAAACAAAGACTAGCAGGTAAAGAACATTACATGTTGTACCGAGGAGACCACAACCGTGAAAAGACAACTATTATATCACATTTTCCTTTTTCGGCAATTCCCAAAAATAGTCAGAGAGGTTTTCTAAGCGAATGACAGATTCACAAGATTCATAACACATTTTGTGGTGCTAAACTAGGTTGGGGGGCCACTGCTGACGGCGCGGAACAGCTGCGAGGCTCGCATAACACTGGCATTGGTTGCGAAATCTGGCCAGGGGGATGAAGCCAATTCAGTGGGGTTTGGGGTGACGGAAAATTTCACATGATGAATTTGCGTGAGAATGCTTGGATAATGTTCGAGTTTACGAATGTTTGTTAACCGAAATGAGAGGGCCGCAAGTGAGGGCGAGACCTCGCCGCGCCGCCGCGTGATCCCCCCGCTCCCCCGCCCCCAACTAATTGTTAAGTATAGCCCCCGAAGGATACGACTTTCTAGATCAAAATAGTGAGAGAACACATTCAACCCAATATCTCTGAACCCGAACAACACACGATGAGAACCAGAGATTAAAAACGAAAACTAAATTGAGATGATTAGTGCAAGAGCTTTCACCAATACATTTACCTCAACATGGAAGAAAAATTTCAAAAAAGCTAGGATATCTAGTGATTAAACTTACTTCAGGTACATGGCCATTTTGATGTCGCTCACTACTACCGTGGAGCGTCCTAATTCGGTGTGGAATGGAGACCTTAACCGTTACTCCAACTAAACTTATCCACATACAGAAGAAACACAACATAAATAATACACAAAAAAATCAAGATATACCGCAAACAACGACTCATTCCGTTCGGAAACGACTCGTGAATTAATTGCTTTATTGACAAGCTAGTAACTTGAAAATCGAATTGATAGAAAGAGCAACAACCAACGTGTTTTCTGCAGCATAGAGAATCTAGAACAGTATAAGACCGAACTCTGAGCATGATGAGATTTTCTATAGCAGATAATAGAATGCCAGCCAAAACAGCGCATTCTTGGAAGACTAGTGGAAAACACGGAAACGAAATATGAGCTTCCAATTTTTGCAAAAATGAGTATGCAATCGCATGACCGCCATAAAGCTCAAACTTCCAATCAAAACATCCTAATAACTCGAAAATGTAACATAAACAAAGTCAACAATGTTTTTTAACCATTAAACATCAAAATAAAGTAACCACAAAACTAGGCTAGGAACAAGGTGCGAATGAGTAGAGCTTGTCCATTAAGAAAGTACCTGTGAGCAACTATTCTAACTAAACTATGTGAAAAAAAAACACTTTGCCCTTCAAACAGCGCCACCAAATCGAGCCTCCGGAGGTCGTCGAAGATCACGATCGTGCAGATGTATTTTCTCCTCCGTTTTGAACATTCTTACTTTGTTCGAGAGATCCATCTCATATTCTGCTTTTTCGCCATATCGACAGTACAGCTCAAAATCTGGCGAGATTTTCCGTTTGATGTCGTATACAATGTCTGGGGTTGGAGCTGCAAATTCATCTCATATTCTGCTTTTTCGCCATATCGACAGTACAGCTCAAAATCTGGCGAGATTTTCCGTTTGATGTCGTATACAATGTCTGGGGTTGGAGCTGCAAATTCTCTAAAAAGTTGGATGTACACATAGTGAATTTATTCTCC